TCAAATTAAAATTAGTGTGTCAGATTGGTCGAGACGCTACATTTGCCTGTGCAAAAGAACTTTTGTTTGGCTACCAACATTCTTCAAAATATCTTCTTTTGTGTTTTTCAGATGAAAGAAAGGTTTGGAATGACATGAAATGTGAGTAGATGACAGAATTCTTCTTTTTAATGTGATTTCCACTTTTACAAATAAAATCAGTTTTATTAGGCAAAACCCTGGCAAAGAACTACACTAGTGGTCGACCGATTTTGGTTTTTTGACAGCCGATGCCGATATCTTGGAAAGCCGGGTGGCCGATATAAAGCCGATATAATTGTATTCATTTTAATTAAGATTTAAGAAATTTGAAATCATTTGAAAAAGGATTCAAAAATACATTTGTAAAATGAACATACTTATACTTTAGATGACAAAGTATTTTCCACAAATAAATAAATATTTAATAAAAATATAATTAAAAAGGAAGTAAACTGTAACCAACAGGGCATTCAGTAATCTGGGAAGTTTGTGTGCATTGGGAATCATATTTTTTCAAATAAAGCCAAGGTAACACTCATAACACACATCATACATAGAGCACACAGTGAAAATGACATGAATATGACAGTGGGCAAGTGCAGCATAATTTGAAATCATGAATTTAATGATTTAAAATTTGCACGGACCGAAAGTCACGCAAAGAACACGCGATCATGCAGGTCACATGCACACTTCACAAGATCTCACAACTGGATCCGACTAAGTTTGCAAGGTTTGTGAAATTAAATGTTCATTAGATATTCAAAGATTTGTTTTAAATTATATAAATGTGTCTTTTGCTGAATGCTGATGGCAAACAAGAAAGTATTATAATGTTTGCCTTTCTATTACTAATAATATAAAAGCAATCGTTATAATACTTTTTGTATACATTTTAATTCCTTTGTTTAACAGTTTTATCGGATTATTAGACAGACTTCTATCCATATTAGACAGAACTGTTAACGACAACAGCGAACAGGGAGAATGTGAGCACTGTGTTCAGGCGCTGCCGCTCTCAGCGCTGTCAAAATATAAGTCCCGCCTCGAACGTATCGGCCAAACAGAAAAACTTATCGGCCAAAGCCGATATTTGAAAAATGCCAAATATCGGCCGATATATCGGCATTGGCGATATATCGGTCTACCACTAAACTACACTATCCATAATCCTGAAGCACAAAGCTACCTCAAAAATAAAAGTCAGGGATGAACGGCTGTGTGCCAAGGTAGTGACTTTAAATCATTTTTGGTCCCAAACGTGTGTTTTCCGTAATATCTCCATAATATATCTAGCTGCAAATGCTTTACTCACATGCTGGCGTTTAATCTTGGCAGGGGGGCTGGCCTGGGGGGAGTTTTTCTTGGAGGGAGGTTGAGCAGGTGGGTTCTGCCCCCCTGACTGGCTGGGCTGGGCAGCAGGAGGGGGTGGCGGTTTCTCTTTGTCCAGTATCTGAGGCTGCTGGGGTATCGGCTGCTTGCCCTGAGAGTACAAATCCAGAATCTGGTGGCAGATGTCTGAAGAACACAAGACATGGGTATGGAGATCATGAAATGCTGGAAGTGAGCAGTGCATCATTACATGAAAAACTAGGGTTATTTTTCCTATATCCAGATAATTGTTTTGGCGGAGAGGCATAGAGAAAGTCTGAAATGCACACAGTTAAACATTAATGTGATTACCCTCCAGCAGCTCCACCGGCACATCCTGTACAAACTGCTCCCACCAGCGGCGAGACGACTGCTTAGACGTCCACTCCTGAATGTCAAACTTACACAGCCGGCCGGCGAGGTACATGACTGCCACTGCTATGATCTCTGGCTCCCACTGAAGGGACAACATTGTGCAGAGGCTGGAAATATACACAAACATGTTAAGAACTGCAGAAGAATCAATGATGACACGTTAAGTAGTTTACTTTTAAAAAGAGGCCTTTAAACGTTCTTTTGTTTTTGGTGCAAAAGAACAGTGTCCAAAATTAACTAGGTTTAAATGCCTAAATATTAAAAGATTTAAATGTTGCAAACTGTGCATCCCTAAACAACTTCTATTTTATAAATTTAACATTAGAAGTCCAAGAAGCCTCAAGTTCTCCATACACACATGCATACATATATATGTGGGGTTTTAGTTAACTATAATAACACTGATATGCATGTATGGTAACAACTGAATAATCACAGAATCGTGGGGACAAAAAAAAAAACTTTCTGAAACACAAAAAAATTAGAATGAATGAATGAATTACAGTCCAACCTGTCATTGACAAAGGTCCACGCCATCTGCACAAGCTTCTGAACTTTGTTCTTGTCACCTGAAAAATCAAACCATGATGATTAACATCAGATGACTAGCATCACGACAAAGCAATATTATATATGTCTTAAAAAATGAAAATTCTGTCATTAATTACTCACCCTCATGCTTTTCCAAACCCGTGATACTTTCGTTCATCTTCGGAACACTAATTAAGATATTTTGGATATCTTAAACTTAACATGAAACTTTCAAAGACTTCAGTGGTTCAACCGTAATTTTAAGAAGCTACGAGAATACTTTTGTGCGAAAAAAAAAAAATGAAATAACGACTTTATTCTAAAATTACTTCTCTTCAACGTAAGTTCAGGATGCACGTTCATGAAGGCACTACGACGTATGCATCTTCCTCTGCTTGTAAACAAGGCGCAGGCGTCGTAGTGCCCTTGTGAATGCGCATCCTGAAGAAACTGTCGCATAAAGTCATTATTTCAGTTTTTTCTCGTAACTTACAATTTTTCTCGTAGCTTCATAAAATTACGGTTGAACCACTGAAGTCACATGGACTGTTCTGACGATGTTTTTGGGACCTTTCTGGAGTTTCATGACCGTTGCTATTTATGGGAGAGTCAGAGAGCTCTTGGATTTCATCCAAAATATCTTAATTTGTGTTCCGAAGATGGGCTTGGAACAGCATGAGGGTGAGTAATTAATGACAAAATTTTCATTTCTGGGTGAACTACCCCTTTAAACCTATTAATACCTTTGAGCTGTTTAGCATAGCGCAGCAGAAACTGGTAGGGGTGCTCAACTTGTAAATCAAACTTGATTGTCTGGAGTAAAATTCTCTCCAGGACCATGACCTCTTCCTGTGGAGACAATTCCATGAAACACAGTGATGTTTAATACAGCAGGAACATCACAAGAATGAGAATTTGTGTTCTGAATGGATTGCAAACCTTCGGATCATCTCCAAACTGTGCAAACTGCACATCATTAAGCAGACTCCGAGCCGTTTTAATGATGTCTTTACACTTCTTGGGGGTTTCTTCCACTTTGCCAGCCAGGAAAAGACAACAAGCCCCAGTCACCTGTATAGAGAAACATAAAACTTTTAAACACGACTAAATTTAGAGTGTGCTACATGCTACAGCAACAAACATCTTAACATAAGACACTGTGTTTACTCAGTCCCTTTTGTTTTTTACCCTCCTGGCACAACAGAACAGCAGAAAACCTTTTCCTTGAAAGCCATCAATATGATAAAACAGACCGTTTTTACCCCAAATAACTCTAGATAATCACAACTTGGACCAAGCAGCAAGATAAAAGAAATTAGTTTATTAGAGAATATCAATAAGCAGTGATATGTTCACCTAGAGTGAAACATATAAAACAATAAACACTAATAATAATCATTAAAAGACCCTGTTCTTTGAATTCATCTCAAAAAACATATTGGAATCGTAATTGAAAGGGGTTCAGAAAATTCTGATATTAGAATAAATAAATGATCAATTCTGATATGTGACCCTGGACCACAAAACCAGTCATAAGGGTCAATTTTTCAAACTTGAGATTTATACATCATCCGAAAGCTGAATAAATAAGCTTTCCATTGATGTATGGTTTGTTAGGATAGTACAATATGTGGCCGAGATACAACTATTTGAAAATCTGGAATCTGAGGGTGCAAAAAAATCTAAATATTGAGAAATTCACATTTAAAGTTGTCCAAATTAAGTTCTCAGCAATGCATATTACTAATCAAAAAATAAGTTTTTATATATTTACAGTAGGAAATATACAAAATATCTTCATGGAACATGATCTTTACTTAATATCCTAATGATTTTTGGCATAAAAGAAAAATCAATAATTTTGACCCATACAATGTATTTTTGGCTATTGCAACAAATATACCCCAGCGACTTAAGACTGCTTTTGTGCTCCAGGGTCACATATTAGAATAAATAAATGATAAATTACCCCAAAGCAGTACTTTGCCTATAAACACCGTATAATAATAATCTGCCAAAATGCATGTAAAAATGATCAGATTTTCAAGAGCATAAACACTTACATATCTGGGAAACTGTTTGAATGAATGAAACATGTAAAACCGATGAAAGTATGTTATTCCAGTTGCCAGAGTGTCATAATGTCTTAAACATTGGTTAAGGATCATATAAAAAAATCCTCTCAGTATTTCAAAAGCATTCCTACACAGAACTGGTAATAAGTTGTAAATGGCCGTGTTAGAAGGATACAGTCCCAGACGTGTCCCGACGTCGAATATGAACCGGGCTCCCTCTCGTCTGTACCGGGCTTCTGTGGCTGGATCCAGGCCATCGGACTGGGACGGGGTGTGGGCCAGATCCTTCTTGTCCCAGTACCAGCATGGCTTTGTGTGGTCCAGATTTGTGGCAAAACTTCCAGCAGCGGCGGTAGAGTTCTCCTTGCCGTCCTTCATTTGGAAGGAAGTGACAGCTGATGCCAAACTGGACTATCAGGCCGCCGTTGGACAGCAACAGCTGCGCAGGTCTGTACAACAAAGGACTGAGGATATCAGTCAGCTAATTACTTGATAACATCACACATCTGCTTAAAAGACAATTACGATTCAGAAAACATTATCAGTTTGACTGTACGGACACGATTGGATGAACTTGAACTAAATTGAGCTTCTGCAGAGCTGTTTTAAAGCTGAGATTGAAGTTTGTTTTATAATTAACACATTTTACGACAGTTATTTTACTGCATATTACTGTAAAGGTGCGTAAAAAAAAAACTGTTGAAGCCCTATATAAACAAATTTGACTAGGCACTTCCACTGGAGGTAAAGACTTTATAAAGCTAGAATTAACTGATACGGAGCACAAAAAAACATGTATTTTGGACATTGTTATCAGTGAACATAATACTGCAAGATGATTTCAGATAAGTATGTGAAGTGGACAAGAGAAAATACCACAGTCAGTTCCATACCATGGTGAATAAAATAAAAAAATCTTTTCTCTGACTGCAACATTATTTTATGACAATTAAGAACATTTCATAGCTAAATCGCCATTACAGCAAAGCTTCGGAACATGAAACCATTTTTACTGCAATTTCCATTTTTCGCAATGAAGATTCTGATTAGATTATTAAAGGTTCCGTTAGGGGTGTGCGATATATATCATCTGCGATAATATCGTAATTGAGCGATTTGACATTATCGAGTATTTTGCAAAAACCATTCAAAACATCCCTACAGAGTGCACGCATACATTACGTGAAGTCTAGACTAGTGCGCGTGCGCATTTAGTGTGCTTTCTTTCACTGCATGATTCAGTCTATTAAAATGCGTTTAGAATGATCACAAATTCAAGACATGGCGGCAGAAAATTTATATATTAATACCACTTCATATAGTTATTCAATTTCATACAAAGAGTGCCGTTTTTCTCCAAAAATTACCATGATTACAAATGTGACATTGAATTCAATAAACAATAAGTTAATTAAGAGACGTTTTAGACAGACACTATATTGCTTGTTTTTTATCTCGCCAACAAAAAAAATTCAGAATACA